GATTGGGTTCATTGGCCCCTCAAGGTCCTTCACTTGCTTGGTTTCAGTGACAGCTGGGGACAGAGGCATCAGTAAGTACAGAAATGCTGAGCCCAGATAAACTGCTGGGGTCATCATTTCTTAAAGAGAATGTGGGTGATGGAAGTGGCAGAGGCAGGCGGCTTCCTTGGGTAGGCAGCTGAACTGGGTAGGGGGCAGGGGTGTAGTACAGAACTTGGGGGCTAGAAGCAGACCTGGGGGGTGTGGGGGAGGGCAGAGTTTCAGCCACACCTGTTTTGGATTCATTCGTCCCCCTCTGCTGGGCCAGCATCGAGGGGGTAATCTCTGAGCAGAGAGAAAGCTGGATGCTGGGAGCTCCCTTCCTCTCCTGCACCTTTGATTTTGACCTGGGCCTCTGGCAGACCCACAGAAGGGATGGCAGAGGGAAGTAAGAGCTTGTCCTTGGCTCTTGGAATCAAACCTTTCACTGTTGCCTCTTTGGGTGTTTGCAGGGAGGAGGAGAAAGGATAGCATTTTGGAGAGAATCAGATTCTGAAGAGAGCTCCTCCTCATCCTGCTCCGTCTCCAGCAGCATCAGGACTGACCTCAGTGGGGGCCTCTGGTCACATCCACACACACTCCATGTCCACAAAGGGGAGCGAGTCGGAGAGCCATCCCCTGGTTCGAGAGAGGAGCTCGGCAGATTTTTTTGTCCTTTGACTAAAGGACACTGCTCAGCTGGCTCCTGGCATATATTGCTCCTTATATCTGTCTCTGATACACGCTCTGCTCAGCTGTTCAGTGGGTTCAGAGCACAGGTTCACTGTGCGTGCCGAGTCCCATTTCTAATGAAAGTAGACTTTGTTCTCTGGAGGCAGCTAATCGTGCCCGTGGGCTGTAATCAGGGAGAAGGTATTTAATACAGGGCAGGAGGCAACAGGGGCCTGCGCCGACTGGCAGATTGCAACATGGCAATTACAAGGCTATCACCCCCTCCTTCTACTCCAGCAGATACTCCAGCAGTTGAGTCCTCTGAACCGCTCCTGAGTAAGTGAAGAATGAATACTATGCAGGAGAGGAAGGAGGAGGCGGGGTTAGGTGGGGTGGGGGCTGTGAGGAGAGCTGCTTTGCTTTCCTTTCTCACCCCTCCTCTGTGATGCAGGTGGGGTGTTTCCCTCGATAGTGCCTGCAGGTGCAGCCCCGAGAGCCCCAGACCAGGTCAGCTGGGGGGGTTGAGGGGTCTCAGCCTTTCTCCCAGAAGGGCTTCCCTCATAGCTCAGTTAGTAAAGAATCTGCCTGCAATGCAGGAGACTCTGGTTTGATTCCTGGGCTGGGAAGATCACCTGGAGAAGGGATAGGCTACCCACTCCAGTATTCTGGCCTAGAGAATGCCATGGACTGTATAGTCCATGGGGGTCGCAAAGAGTCGGACATGACCGAGCGATTTTCACTTTCACTCTTCTCCCAGAGCACGGCTGTCGTACAAACCCAGCCTGAGATGAGTAGCCCACGTCCTAAGTCCTCTGCTTCCAGTTCCTTGAAGCTCAGGTAGTTGTGGTGAGGGGTGGGAGTGGGATTATTCCTCGTCAGTTTCTAGGCTTTCTAGAAGACCCTTCTCATGGAGGTGCCCTGGAACCAGCGCAGCATCTAGAGGCTAAGAGACCTCAAGGGCTGTCTGCCCGCTCCTCGTGGCCTGTGGCCCATTTGGACTTGTCTGGCCTTCCCTGGGGGGCTCTTTTTCTTGATGTGGGATTAGGAGTCGACCTAAGGTTGAAACACTCCAAAGCAGCTTGGAGATCTGTGGCTGAAGGCTGTGTGGCCGGGGAGGCGGCCTCCAGGAGCTGGGTCTCCCTGGAGGGGCCGCTCTGGTGCTTTGTAACCTGCCTCTCCTCTCCTCCCAGCTGTGACCCTGCTGCCCGGCTGCCACGCCCATGTTTGCCTGTTCAGTGCTGGAACAGTGGTCCCCTCCAGGCTGGATCTGGAAACCTTAGCAGACCTTAGGAGTTGGAACCAGGGCCCCAACGTGCACTGGAATTTAGGGATGTGGGGCAGAGTGTGGCACAGAGTCTTCCTCCTGGACTTGTGTTGGGAGCACTGCGGCTCCCTGGTGGGCTGTCCTCCCTAGCAGGGTGTGGTCTTCTGCTTCCCCGGTCGGGAGTCACATCCTTCCCTGTGACTGCGATATGTATGAAAAGAGCGGGTTCTGGCTGGGGAGAGAACCTCCCGAAACCACTGTCCTTTATCTGAGAGTGCTAGTCTGCACTTTGACCCATCTCACTGCTAGCCACATCCACGCTATCTGTCCCCTCAGCAGGCCAGATTATCTGGCCATGAAAGCCCCAGGAATATGAGCTGTGGGGCCATGAGGTTGAGACGGGGCAGGATGAGCTCGTAGGACACGTGACAGCTTGAGCTGGGGCAGCAGGACATGGAGTGAGGCCGCTGCGTCTCTGCACGGGAAGAATGATTAGGTCCCTGGGCACGTCAGTGTCCTCTGCCCACTGCCCACACCAGTGTCCCAGGGCCTGGAGGACAGTGTGGGCTCTGGCAGGAATAGGGAGGAGGGGGGAAGGCAGAGGCTGGCTCTGGACTTCACAGGCGCTCCTGGCTACCAGTATCTCTCACTCCTGCGGTCTGACTCTTCCTTTTCTGACATGTACACACCGCCCCCCCCCCCAACTTAGACCCCCTGAGTATCCGAACCCAGGTGCCCGGGCTGGCTTGGCACTTTCTGGGCCTGTTCCCTGGGCCAGAGGAGCGTCCACCCAGGGCCCCACTGAAGGGGTGGCCCCAGGGAATTGTGGGGGTGACTTGTTTGCTCCCCACACCTCAGGAATGTGCTGTCCCTTCAAGCCTGCCCGGATTCCTGTGCAGGGAGTCAGCCCGACACAGCCCGCTGCGTGTGCCCTGTGGGGACACGCTCTGCCTCGCCATCAAAGGGCTGGAGGCTGGCGGCTCGTGCCTGCTGCCACACCCCAGAACCCCACACCAGAGGCCAGGCTGCCCAGACAGAAGGGGGAGGCCACTCCTCTTCCTGCCCTCCCCACCCCCTCACCGTGCCTCCCGCCTCAGGTCCTGTTGGAATGTGACAGGAGTTGTGGCCAGGGCATGTCCCGACAGCAGGAACACATGCTTTAGCCCGCAAGGCTTCCCTCAGCCCCCAGCTCTGGTTAGGTGGATGGCGCAGGCAGAACTGCCAGTGCCCGGAAGGCCACCTGAGGTTGCCGCCTCCACCGGTCCCTGCGGCGGCTGCTGCCCCCGTGCTGCAGCCCAGCTCATCACAGGTGGGGGAGAGGTCGGAACCCCAGGAACCTGGAGGGGACCTCACAGGCCACTCAGTCTGCCACTCAGCCACCTCTCTGCAGATAGGGACAAGCTTATCCAGTGAGGCAGGGACTAGCCAGGGCCACACCGTGTGTCAGAAGCAGCCCTGAGCCCGGAAGCCAGGTGTCTCAGCTCCCCAGACTGGGGCTTCCCACACAGGCCTTCCCAGCCCGGGCGCTATCAACATTGTGTGCCAATAATTCCTTGTTGTGGGAGGCTGCCCTGTGCTTTATAGGATGTTTAGCAGTATGCCTGGCCTCTACCCACTAGATGCCGGTACCACCCACCCCTGGTGTGACAACCAAAATGCCTTCAGATATTTGCCAGATACCAGGGGCGGGGAAAGAAGGGGGCCGGGGAAGACCAAAGTCACCCTGGTTGAGAACCGTCATTGCTCTAAAATGCTGCCTTTTCCAGTTTTCTCTCCTGGACCTACCCCTTCTCCCCACATAGTCTGTTCACCTCTGTTGTCCATAGAACTAGTGTTTGGGCTCTTCTGGAATCATTGGTAGGAGGTTTCTCCGCCCCCCACCCCCCACCAAGCATCTTTTTCTAGGCTTTTTCCTAGGTTTTTTCCTGGTGTTTTCTTCTGCAACCCATGTCCCCCAAATCTCTGAGGAGTTGTTTCTAGACTCTGACAGGCCCTGGAGATGAACAGGACAGATATGGGGTAGGATAGGGACAAGACCAGACCAGACCTATTCTGGAATCAGATGTGTGGTAAGCCAAGACCATGGTCACACAGACACACCTGTGTCTCCCTGGGCCTGTGACACCATTCATGGGGAGCCCAGTGCTTCCACTCTGGTCCAGCCTCCACGGCTCTCCCACCCAGCTCTCCTGGGGGCACTGACAGATAGGCGCTGACACCTGGTTTCTTGTTTTCTTCCCGTCTCAAGTTTCAGGAGCTGTTGGCCAGAGGAAGTGGCCGGGCCGTGGGATGCGGAGTGCCACAGGCTGACTCCTGGACAGTGGAACAGAGAGTGCTGCCAACAGACGGACGGTATGTTCATGGTGAGGCCTGCGCCCCCACGGGGCTTCCTCCTGGGGAGGCTGGCAGGTGAGGGGGCAGCAGGTGGCCCCTCTTGGTGGGGGCTGGTGAAGAGAGTGGTGGAGGCCAGAGAGGCTTGACCTTCAGGGCCCCCAAACCTGGTGACGCCCCGCCCCACAGGGTCCAGGCTGGGCGTACATCTCAAGCCCTTACTTTCTGCTTACACTTTGCTTTAAAGCTAACATTAGTTGAGCATCTGGGTGCCAGTTTCTGTTATTAGTGCTTTCCATAATCATTACAACAACTCTCTGAAATTGGTTGTTGAAATGAAACTCAACCTAGAGCAAACTGGCGTTTGGAGAGTCACTCTTCCCTCTGAGGCAACCCTACCATGCCTGCAGGGGCCAGGAGTGGGGCACTCCCCCAGCCCACCCCACGCTCCCTGCACCCAGGCCCTGGGCCCTGCCTTTCCCCTCATGTGTTACCACTGGCCCTGGACCCCTCTCCTGTTCACCATTGACCTACAGGCAGTAACACACCAGAGTTGAGCACTTCAAATAACCCTGGGAGTGGCCCAGGCCTGTCTGCCTGCCTGGTGGCTCCTACGTGTCCTCTTTTTCCCTCAGTTCAGAAGCCTCTTGCAACGTCTCTGAGCCTCCTCCCTCCTTATTTCCTTCAGCAGGTTGAAGAGCTCTCGCCTCCCAGAATGACCAGTGCAGCCCCTGCTAAGAAGCCCTACCGTAAGGCACCACCCGAGCATCGTGAGCTGCGGCTGGAAAGTCCTGGCTCCCGGCTCGAGCAGGAGGTCAGCAAGGGCGGTCCCCCTGCCCCAGCTGGCAGATGCAGGTCCCTGAGGCGGGGGGCCTGGCTGTCCTGAGGGGATGTCTGGTTCCCCTAGTTGGGGTGAGGGTGTGGTGTTGCTGGTAACCACTTGGGCTCTCAGCTGCCACCATGCTTGTGGGGGGGCCATGCAGACTAATGGGGGATGTCTGTGACATGTCCACATGTTCAGGAGCCCCAGAGTCTGTAGCTCAGCCTACATGATGTGTGCAGTGTTATTCTTGGTGTGAGAGGCTGCCCCCCAGACAGAGGTGTCTGACCTACCCAGAGCCCGGGACTCTGGCCCTCCCCTGGTGGACCAGAGCTGTTCAACCTGCGGTCCCTCTGGGCGCCGTTAGGAAGCTCCAGCTGCTTGCCCTCAGACAGTTCTTCACTGTCCCCGAAAGGTTGATGACCTTCGTCCAGCTTTGCTTTGTCGGGCTGACATTTATCAAATATGTGCTCCCTGCTAGAACTGCATTAGATTCTTAAGAGGCCTTCTTCACGCACCTGCCAAACATTCTCCCGATCGGTTTTCCTCCCTTGTTAAGCTCCTGCAGGAGGAGGAGAGTTTATTCTCCTTGATACTGTGTCTCTACCCTGTTGAAGTGCATGGAGCGCATTTAGAGAACTTGAGAGATGGCCAGCATGTGCCAGGCGCCCAGGGCAGAAGTGCCATCCACGACTTGCCCATTTTCAGTTAGGGAAACATTAAAAGGCCAGACACTGTGTGAGGTGCCGCCCTCTGGACACTCCCCCAGTTTTGCAGATGTGGTCTCTATGGTTCAGCAAAATTAATGTAACCAGTCCAGGTGTCAGTGGCTCCCAGGCCCATAGTCTGGGCCACACACCTCATTATCCTGCCTGTGATGAGCGTCCTGAAGCTGTGAGGCCAATCAAATGCCACTCAACATTTCCCTCCTGCCATAGCGCGGGCTGGCTCTGCATTGTGGTTGGCCGAGTTCTAGCCCTTGGGCTTGTGACCCGTGTGGGGGCTTGAGGAGGATGCTGCAAGAGGGAGAAAGCAGGATGAGACGCTTCACTCCTTTCGGTCCGGGTTACCCCAGAGGTCCTGCACTTGTGCCTCCCGAGCCTCTGTGAGGGCCCGATGCTGCCCAGCGGGTCCGGAGGGCTTCATCAGAGCTCTGGACCCTAGTCCATCTCACCTGGTTTTGTCACTTCTCTGGAAAGTCTTCAGCCTTGCCTGCAGGGCCTGCTAGGAGCCCAGTGAACAGCTGAGAGTCTCTCTAGCCCAGGGAGGGATGGCATGGGTACCAGGACTCATTTGTGGTTGGCTCTAGGACTCAGAGGGGTTGGAGCTGGTGTGGGGAACGGGGAGGGTTGGAGTCTGGGTGGCATGGGCGAGAGTAGTCTTGTCTGGTCCAGAAGTTACTCGATGGCCTCCATCTCTGTGGGGCCCTGCAGCCCACTTGTGCCAGACACGTCTGCTGCAGACATGACCCTCTCTGGGGCTGTTTGGAGGAGGTGGGAGTGAGCGGGAGGCAAGTGATCCAGAGCTGAGCCTCATGCTTCTGTTCTTTTGTGCACAGGAGCCGCTTACTGACGCGGAGAGGATGAAGTGAGTAGCTGCTGCCCAAGAGCTTTCCCCGCCTCAGCTCTGTCCCCTTAGCCCCAGGCTGTTGGGCTTTTCTTGGATTAGGTAGAGGTAAAGGTTGGGGAATTTTAGGGACTCTGGAAGGCAGCTTGAAGTTTTGGATATTCCTTCTGGAAAAACATTTGTTTCATGAGAACCTGGCATCAGGAAGGTGAATGGCTCTGAGGGGCCTGCTCTTGCCAGAGTTCTTCCCCAGCTCCCGGCCCTCCTGTGCCAGCTGTCTGCTCGCAGCCCTTTCCGTCAGCTCCGTGAGGCCTCTGGAGAGCAGGGCACTCCTGGGCTGGGTTTCCACGAGTTGAATAATGGAGCAGCTTGACTGTGCAGTGGAGAAACTGGAGCTTGGGGCCGGCTGGCTTGGGTTGTAACCAGAGACAGATGGCAGCTGTGGCCCCTGCAATTCTGTCTTCTCCAGTGAGGGGGCCCGACTGTCCCCCTCCATCCCCTCTGCCTCCCCCACCCTTTGGCCAAGCTGTGTTCTCAGGACCAGCAGGCCTATGGGATACGCTTCCCCAGACTCAGGCTGAGTCTCAGGGAGTCGCGGCCCTCAGCTGCCTGTCCTCCTGTCACCCCTATTTCCTTCCTGAATCCAGCCTGGGACTCCAGGGTGGCCCTTCCACCTCTGATTTCCCTCTGCCCTTGATCCCTCATCCTCCCAGGCTTTTGCAGCAGGAAAACGAGGAGCTCCGCCGGCGCCTGGCCTCGGCCACCAGGCGCACTGAGGCTCTGGAGCGTGAGCTGGAGATCGGGCAGGACTGCCTGGAGCTGGAGTTGGGCCAGAGCCGGGAGGAGCTGGACAAGTTTAAGGACAAGTTCCGCAGGTGTGGGACGGGGGCTGGGACATGCATGCATGCACCTCCCCATTCACAGGGGGTTGTCAGCCAGGAGTGGCCTCAGAGGTGATCCGATTCTGATGTGAAAACTGAAGTTCTGGAATGGACACCTGCCCAAGATCCCACATCAAGAAGGGGCTGAGCAGGGTCTGAAGAGTGGCATCTTGACCTGGGGGTCTGCCCTGTGTTCGCTACAGGCTGCAGAACAGCTACACGGCTTCCCAGAGGACCAACCAGGAGCTGGAGGACAAGCTGCACACGCTGGTAATCTGTCGAGGAGGGCAGCTTGGCTGGCGCTGCACTCACAGCATAGCACGGGGCTGGGACTCGCCAGGGCCCCCCCGGCCCCCCCACCATCCTGCCTTGGGCTCGGGAGGGGGTGGCTGTGGTGGGGAGGGGCCTGCCATGTGCCGTGCGAGTCAGGATTGTCCTAACGCTCACACTGTTTCTCTTCTCTCGTCTTCCCCTCATGCTGCCACCGTTGCTGCTGTACTCTTCTCTCAGGCCTCTCTTAGCCACAGCTGGATTTTTGCAGTTGCGTCTGAGTTTGTGTTTTCTCCCTTGCCCTTGCCTCCTCCTCAGCTGAAATCTGGGATGGCTGGGGCCTGGCCCTTGCCCTGTGCCCCCTCCTTTCCTCCTCATGGGAGGCCTAGTCAGCAGTGAGTGTCTCACTCCTGGGGGACAGCTGGGGAGCCTGTTCTTGGCTTGGGCAGAGGTACTGATTGATGTCACCACTGAACACTCACAGCCTCTCAGCTGCAGTGGTAGCCAGCCCCAGCCACTTGGAGGAAGGGGGCCTGTGGATCCAGTCCCTGAGCTGAAGATCAGAAGACTGCAGCTCCCTCCCTGCTCGACTAGATAATCTCACAGGCGCCCCCAGCTGCCACCCAGCCCCGCTCCGTGCCCAGCTTCCTCCCCCCACCCAATAGCCTGATGCTGGAAACAGCTACATGCAGCATAGGCCTGAGCCCCTGGGTCTGCAGTTCTTGGCCTCTCAGGGTGGAAGCTTCCTCCCCTGGTGTGTAGGGCCCCTTGAGCACACCCAAGGCTGGGCAGCTCTTAGACTGCTCTGCTCTGGGCAGCTGTCAGTCATGTTCAGAAAGCCCCTGCCCCACAGCCCGCCTGCACTGCAGGAGAAGTGTCCGGTCTCCTTCTGTCTGTCCATCATCTGTCTACTCCATGTGCCTTGGCTGCCCTAGCACCTGTGGCTTCCTGTGTCTCTGGGCTGGGAGGAGGGGAGGAAGGACTGGCTGGGGCCTGGGTTGGGTTCACTGTGAGTTTCATGCCTCAGATTAAGAAGGCTGAGATGGACAGGAAGACGCTGGACTGGGAGATTGTGGAGCTGACCAACAAGCTGCTGGATGCCAGGAACACCATCAACAAGCTGGAGGAGCTCAATGTATGGGCATCTTGGGGCCTCCCTGCCTGTGCCACTGTGTCCCCACCCTGCTCCCCAGGTGGGGCCAGGCTCTGAACTGCATCTGTGTCTGCAGGAGCGGTACCGGCTGGACTGCAACCTGGCCGTGCAGCTGCTCAAGTGCAACAAGTCCCACTTCCGTAACCACAAGTTTGCTGATGTGAGTAGTGTGCCCTCCCAGCCAGTGCCCATCCACCCTTTCTAGGACCCCTCCAACTCCAGTTTCTACGCCTCTCTGTCCTGTCCTTGCACCTCTGGCTCCCCACCCCCCCTTCTGCTTTGCCTTCCCCTCGCTTTCCTGTTTCCCCTCAAGCCAGGCAGCTCAGCCTCTGGTTGGTGTCCTGCATGCTCTTGAGGGCCTATCACTAGGGGCAGGGTGAGACTGGCCCTATGGGTATTTCTCTATGGGAACAGAGATGGGGAGAGGGTCTCAGTTTCCAGATCTGATGCAGGAAGGAGGGCATGCCAGAAGTATGGGCCATAAGATAATTGAGAGAGTCCTTTGCTCCAAGGGGAAGCTCTAGACCCCAGAGCTCCTGCCTAGGGCTGACAGGGTTGACAGAAGGGGTGGGCCTTAGCACCAGTGCTGGGGTCAGATCCTGGCTGTGTTGATCAAAAGCTTCAAGTCATTTCACTGCAAAATGAGGATATACCTCAGTGTGCTGTGAGAACAGGTGATAGCAAAGTGCCCCGCACACTGTGAGGAGGGAGTCTTGCACATGGCAGCCTTTATTTTTGCCCTGAAGCAAGCTGTCTTAGGCTGGGATCTTTCATGTCTCTCTTTCCTTCTCTCGTTCCTGTACCCCAGCTGCCCTATGAGCTGCAGGACATGGTTCGAAAACACCTGCACAGTGGTCAGGAGGCCGCCAGCCCGGGGCCTGCCCCCGGCTTGGCCCCTGGGGCTGTGGTGCCCACCTCGGTCATTGCCCGTGTGCTGGAGAAGCCAGAATCTCTCCTGCTCAATTCAGCCCAGTCAGGCAGCGCTGGGCACCCCTTGGCTGAGGACGTCTTCGTGCATGTGGATATGAGTGGGGGTGACCCGGGTGACTCAGCTAGCCCCCCAGCCCCGAGCAGCCCCAGCCCCCAACCCAATGGGGAGTGCCATTCCCTGGGCACTGTAGGGGGCTCCCCGGAGGAGGAGCTGCCCCTGCCGGCCTTTGAGAAGCTGAGCCCCTACCCAGCCCCATCCCCGCCACACCCACTGTATTCTGGCCGCAGGGTGATTGAGTTCTCTGAGGATAAGGTGCGGATCCCCCGCAACAGCCCCCTGCCCAACTGCACGTATGCCACCCGCCAGGCCATCTCCCTGAGCCTGGTGGAGGAGGGCAGTGAGCGGGCCCGCCCCAGCCCGGCGCCTAGCAGCCCTGCCTCGGCCCAGGCCTCCCCCCAGCACCAGCCCCGCCCCGCCCCGCCGGCGCTCAGTGCCCCGGCCAGCTCTGCCAGCTCCGAGGAGGACCTGCTGGCCAGCTGGCAGCGGGCGTTTGTGGACCGCGCTCCGCCCCCGGCCGCTGTGGCCCAGCGCACAGCCTTCGGCCGGGATGCACTCCCTGAGCTGCAGCGCCACTTTGCCCTTGGGCCCGCTGGTGGAGATGAGGAGGTGCAGGCACCATCGTCCCCACCTGGTGAAAGCGGGCTGCTGCTGCCGCTCGAAGCTGACCCTGGCTTTCCCAGCGGGGAGGATGAGGAAGAGCTGAATCTGCCCATCAGCCCGGAGGAGGAGCGCCAGAGCCTGCTGCCCAGTGATGCTGGCACGGAGGAGGGGCCCGGCATGCCTCGCGCTGAGGGCAGGGTGTGGGCACTGCCCAGCTCCAGCCGCCCCCAGCGAAGCCCCAAGAGGATGGGGGTGCACCACCTGCACCGCAAGGACAGCCTGACGCAGGCCCAGGAGCAGGGCACCCTGCTGCACTAGTGCCCGGCTCGCCTTCTTGCCGCTGCTGCACAGGGACTGCAGGGCGCTCCTGCCCGTGCAGCTCAGGGTCTCCGCCCAGCCCAGGCCCTTGACCTCTGCTCCCTGCGCGAACAGGGTCAGGCCACACCAGGCCTTTCAGCTGCATTGACTAACTGGTATCAGCTGGCCTCATGGTTTTTCCCTCCTGGAATATTTATTCTCCAATGGTAACGTGCAGCTGGGGCTCATGACCTTTCTTCCAGTCAGCCCAAATCGGTCTGTTCTGGGGAGCTGAGGCCTTTATTACATCAGTGTTTATCCTCCTTCCTCCTTTCATAGCCACCAGTTTTTTTTTTCCCCCTGAGTGTAGGGGGTCATTGGGATTATTAACCTCTAAGTTCTAGTTTTTGACCGGTTTCTCTCTCCTTCAATCCCCTGCACGAGCTGTTGCCTTCACGGGGTCTAGCACAGCAGGCCCTTGGGGTGCGGGAGAGGACTGACTCAGGGCTCCTCAGCTGTTTCCTCCTCCCTCTGGGAGGGAGAAGAGGGTGGGATTCAGGGGCCTTAAACTGGGCTCTAGGTGAAGCCTGGCCCCACTCCCAACCTTGGCTCTAGACTGTTACTTCCAGCACTGGGAAATTTTCACATCGGTAACTATTTTAAAATTAAATAAAACTATTTTACTGGAATGGCCTCATTTGTATTAATGACCTTCCTTCTACTAGTCTTCTCCCCATTCTTGAGTATCCCCAGCCCTAGTCCTGTCCTAGTCTTTGCTCCTGACTCTCCTTACCTTCACTTTGCCTGGGGCTTCCTTGCGCACAGAGCATCAGGCAGGGGGAGAGAATGTCCCTCAATTAACCTTGGCAGGGCTCCTGAGTCTCCTTGGGGTGGGGTCCAGCCAAGTTTTGGGGGTGCTTTGCCTCACTTATAGTCCTTGCAGGGCCTGTGAAAGGTGTCACCCCAAAAACCCAGGTCCTAGAAGTCAGAGACCTGAGCCAGACCTGTTTGAGACATTTGGGGCCAGTGGATACTGCCTGGAGCTTGGGCCATAGGGTAGCACTGCCACCTAGTGATGTCTAGAGGTATTTCCAACTCCTCCCCTACTGCCATCCCCCAGTGACCAGAGCCACACACCAGGTTATAGAGTTCATAAAATCTCTTCCGAGCCAGCGGGCTGCAGCCAGAGCTGCCAACAAGTCCAGAGGCACTGCCTTGGGTTCCAGTGCCCCCGAGGATTTTGTTGAGTCACAGCCTCCAGAGCCTCCCACCACACCGCCAGGAGCTGCCAGAGCCCCAGGCACCACCCCCTATCCACAAGCCCCAGGGTCTGACCCTGACATCTGGGGCAAAGTGCTGGAGACACAAATGTAATGATGCGCAGAAACGGAGAGTCACATCTCAGTCTCAGCCAACAGACTGTCCCCTAGTCCTGATGTCATTAGCACCATCTGAGAGCTGGGATCTGTGGAAGGGCGGAGGGGTGTTTAGACCACCATGCATCCCTCCTCTGGGGACCACAGGCAGAAGTGGCCTGTTTCCCATGCCCCGTCTAATTGGTCTCAAGCCTCCGATCAACCCCTGGGGGCTCTTACCACTGGGACCTGTCCAGGAGCTGCTGCCCCTCTGGTGGGCAGCAGGCTGCCGTGCTCGCTCTCGTTCCTGGGTGTCGCCAGGCCCTCCTGCCACCTCCTCCTCCTCCTCCTCCCCCTCAGAGAGGAGGTCGCAGATCTGCTGCTGCAGCTCCGGGCTAATGCTGTTCTCGGCCAACACCAGACTCCGCAGAGCTGTAGGGTAATTTTCTACCATGTCCAGCAGGGTCTGTGGAAGAACACGGAAAAGGATGAAGGCAGTTAAGGAGGCTCCTGCAGGCTCCAAGCTGCCACCCCTTCGGTGTGTCCACAGGATGGATGTTGAGGCTAACCTCAACCCCTGGTCCATCCCCCAATGTCAAGACTTCTCACCTGCGCTGACTGGTTGGTGAGCCCTGTGCCCTCCAAGTCTAGGACCTCTAAGGTGCGGCTGGAGGCCACAGCTACAGCCAGCATCCCTGCCACGTGGTCACCTGGGGAGACAGCGCACACACACACCCACACCCACACACACTCACCTGCAGTCATTTGCAGGCCTGCTAACTCTTCCCCACAGCCTCCCCATCACCCTAAACACCTAAGATCCCACCCCAGGCCAGGAAAGGCTGGCAACTGGTGGATGGCCAGGAGGGAAGCATTGTGACTGGCCAGTGAATGAATGAAGCCAGCCAGGCCCCGGGGGTGGTGATGGATGCTCTGATCTAACTGTTGGTCAGCTGGTCCTCCACACTGGTGGCTTCTGTACTTCCACCCACAACCCTCTTTTTCCTTTCCTTCGCCAGTGTGGTGGTTACCATGGCAACTGATGATCCCAGGTTTTTGCAGGTGGGGTGAGGGGAGTGATGAGAATCAAAAGGGACTTTTATGAGTCTCACCCAGGGGATTGTAGTCCAGATTGAGCACGCGGACCTGGGAACTGTGGGCCACGGCAATGGCGAGGCGGCTCCAGCCCTTAGGGGTTATGCCGGGGTTAGCGCTCAGTGTCAGCTCCTTCAAGCCTGGGCAGCGTCATAGTGAGAGCCAGGATGGGGAGGGTCAGGCCTTTCTCCAACCCCTCCCTGACCTGGTGATCTTTGGGGTGTCCCTGGTGACTGAGAGCCATGCCAACCCCTCCACAGAGCTTCAGGGACATTAGAGCCCCATGCCCTTCCTGCCCTCTGTAGCCTGGATTCCTGTGTCTTCATCCTGCTCGGCCTCAACCCTCCCTCCTTGAGAGGATCTGAGAAACATTCTCACCCACACAGTCAGAGCCCTCTTCTCTGGGCCAGGCCCCCTCCCCTCTGCACTTAGTTTTTCGCTTTTCATCAAGGCCACATCAGCCCTTGCCCTCAGCAGGGCCCCTGCTCACCGGACTTGGCCCCGTCAGGCGGGAGGAGGCCACAGATGAGGTTGATGGCTTCATCACCCAGCATGCAGTCCCCCAGGTCCAGTGCCACAAGGGCAGGGTGGAGGGCCAGGGCTGGATTCAACAAGGCCAGCCCCGCGTCTGTCAGAGGGCTCCCATGCAGGCTGGGGGTTAAGAGCAGAGAGCAAAGGTTACTTCCATCATCAACCCTGTCTGTAAGGGGGAAGGGGCACCCTCCCTGATGGTGAGCCCTAGAGGTGAAGAGGACATTTGGTCACAGCACATGGGAGAGGCCTTGGGAAGGAAGAAAATTCTAGATTCTGAAAGAATGCAGTTAGAAGAGGAATGTGGCTTCTTTTCCAGGGCAGGGACTAGGCTCCAGATCAGAACACAGAGAAGGAGCGTGTGGGGGTGGTATTTTGGACAGAATGTATGGGCAGGGATCTAGTTCTCAGGGGAGGATTCCTTCTTTGTGGACTGAGCAGCTGTCCTGGAGAAGTCATTGGGGTGATCACGTTGGGCGGTACGCCGACCCTGCCAGGAAGGGGGTGGGTATCCTGGCTCACTTGGGGTGGGGCTGGTGTTCACAGTCTGGAGATGAAGCAGGAGCTTAGAGGGTGTGGTGGAGGTATGGTTAGAGAGAAGAGGTGCGTGAATAAGGGGTGAGAAGGTAGGTCAAATGCAAAGACACGTACAAGGAGGTGTGGGAAGGAACAGGAGGTGGCAAGAGGAGTGCGAGGAAGGGGTGTGGTGCCCAGGACCCCCTTTTGAGAGAGCACACTCACAAGAGGGACTGGATGGAGCGGTTGGTCCGCAGCGCCTCCGCCAGCTGCTTGATGCGGCTGGGGCTGGACACGACGCCCAGGTTAAGGTTGAGCTGCGCCAGGGACGTGGCCCCGGCTAGGGCCCGGCAGATTCGGCCGAAGTCGCGGTCGCAGAGACGGCAGCCGCGCAGTGAGAGCAGGCGCACGGCGTTGTCGCGCAGGCCGCGGCAGATGTCCCGCACCTCGGCTCCTGACAGCGGCTCCCCCGAAATCTGGATGGAGCTGGGCAGCATCGTACCCACGGCTGGGCCGCCGGGGCCGGGGCCCGGGCCGCGGCCGAGGTTGGCGGGGCCGCGGGCGGGGTCGGGGATGGGGTCGGGGCCCGGGCTGGGGTCGCGGACGCAGAGGGGGTAGCGGGGGCGGCAGAGGCGCAGGAGGCGGCGGCGGCGGTAGGGGTGGCGGGGGCGGTGGCGGCGGGGGCGGCGGCGGCGGCGGAGAGGAGCCCCGGGGCCGGGGCCGGGGCCGGCCGGGATTGCGGAGCCGCCGAGGTCGCCGGCCGGGCTGAGACCGCGCGGCGCTGGAGCTGGGACGGACCGTGCGGTCCGTGTCTGGGCGACTGGCCGGGGGGCGCGTTCCGGGGTCGGGCGGGCGCTGCTCCGCGGTGGTCCTCGTCCCTCGCGGTTGTGGCGGCGGCTCAGGGACCTCAGCTTAGGACGCGCAGGACCAGTCTCCGCTCGGAGGCCGCATCTGCTCTCTCCCTTCCTCCAGCCCCGCTCCCCCTACCGCCTCGCAGGGAGAGCCCGAGGCGGGCAGGCCGGCGGGCCGGCAGGCGGGCAGCGGGCGGCGGGCTGCAGCTCCGGCTGAAGCTGCTGAGCCGGAGCGGGCGGCGGGTTCCCATGGCAACGGCCGCGTCACCACCGCTCGCCCCGCCCCCTGCCCGGCCTAGGCCACGCGGGCCCGGGAGGTTTGCGCACACCCGGCGTTCAGGTGGGGACGCCTGAACGTCTGGGTGTGGGGCCAGACGACAGGTGGAGAGTAGGTAGCCGGGTGGAAGCCTGTGTCGGGCAGGGGATGGGGAGGGGAGAATAGAGGTACGTCACGTGGAGATGGCGTTTGGGACTAGTAATGTATTGGATCCTTTTGCTCATTTTTTCGTTGTGCTTTTGCCCGGATCCAGGGCATCTCTCTCTCCCCGCCGCCTACCGGCTCTGTCATCCAGTTTCGAGGTGCCTCGGTTCAGTTCAGTTCAGTCGCTCAGTCGTGACCGACTCTTTGCTACCCCATGAATCGCAGCACGGTCCCTAGGGCCCTTTAATCTGCGCCTCGCCCCGCCCGCGCGACGAGAGGCGTCGCGTGCGTGGGAATTCCAGCCGCGTGCCCCTTGCCATGATGGCTGCGTTGCAGCTGCGGCCCCCAAGTGTCCCGTCCCAGCTGAGACGGCCTGAGTTAACAGGCCCAGTGGAACCCTCAAAGGGTCCTTGGAGCAGGTGAGCTGCAGGTAGATGCAAGGTGCTGGTGCAGCTCCTTTCCAGGTGATCAGGGCGCTGCTGATGCTCTGACGTTCTCAGTACCCGTGGAGACTGGAGTGGCCAAAATGAAAGGGGTGCCAGGATGGCAGCCTGGAGTGGTTTTGCCGCCGTGGATGGTGTCTGGAGCTTTCAGTAAGGGCACACTGCTTAACACAGGCAGTGCACTTACAACTTGCTCCACTGGTAACAGTGTAGGGACCTTCCCATATGGTCATATAGCGCAAACCCTAAGGATGTGTTTCTTAGTTCCCTTATTAGAAAGGAGAAATGCTGACCCAGATTTACTAGGGTAATGAATTTTAAAAAAATGCATCACACAAAGTAGTGAAGGGAGGCCAAGGATCCTGTTCCTTCCATTAACTACCCTAAGTAACTCCTTAGCTGGAACAGATTAAACGGCTAGAGGGGGTGGATCTGCTCTGCTTGGGGGTGGTTATTGCTTTTAACCCTGAGAGAACTGAAGGAAGCTTTGTTGCTCTGGCCCTGTATAACCAGGCCGAAGCCAACTTTGACTTCAGATGTGAGCTCCCACAGGAAGATTATCCTTACAAAATGACCCAGGTGCCAAAGGACCTTGTTATGACATGGGGTTGCATCTGGAAAGTTGTGTCCAACTGTCACTGCTCCATAGGCATCCCAAGAGTGAGACGGAACCCAAAGTCAAGTTGGGTGCACTGTTCCATCAGATTCATGGTTCTTGAGCTAAGGCCTCCATGCTGCTGCTTGGATTCTCATTTCCTCTGCCTTGGGGACAGGCAGCCTTCAATGTAGTCAATGTAGTCTGGACTGTCCCACTTTATTATTAATATTTTTGGCCATGCCATGTGGCCTGTGGGATCTTAGTTCCCTGACCAGGGACTGACCCCATGCCCCCTGCAGTGGAAGTGCAGAGTCTTAACCACTGGTGTGCCAGGGGAAGTCCCTGGGCTGTCTTTCATTCTGCTCGCACAGGGGTATACTTAAGGGAGGAACATGTGACATGACCACCACTGACAGAATAGGGAAGTGCACAAGAAGCAGGATGGCAGGGAAGACCACTGGAATGGGTAGCTGCAGTGCCAGACTTCAATCAGTATTTTAATTACCAAGTCTATATTTAGCAAGACAATGTGGGAGAGAGAAAGAGGAAGGAAGGGGTAGGTGGTGAGAGGGCCTCCGAGGAGCTGACCCACTTTCTGCACTGGCTGCAGAACCCTGCAGTCCTGGCCAGGAGTTCCTGGCCTTGTGCCCCCAGAAGCCCGACAGGCATTGAGGAGATACTTGAGTGGCTACAGCTCTGTGGCAGCTGCAGACCCCATCAAAGAGACACACGTCATCAGTACTGTCCTTTAATCTTCCTCCGCTTCACCGCTGGGGGCAAGGGGCCGGCCGGGGATTTCAGGTGGGGTCAGTGTGACTGCAGGGTCACGGCGACAGCCCTGGCTGTGGCGTTGAGCACGGCAGTGGGAAGCCTGGCAGCAGGTAGTGCGGCGGGGATGTCTCTGGGGACCCTCTGTATGGGCGGAATGTTGGGGCCCTCCAGCGTGTCCAGGATCCCTGAAAGGAGGAGGATGGAAAGTGAGCGAGGGTTGGCAGGGCCCTGGCTGAGGCAGTGGTCCTTCCCCCTCCCCGCAGCCAGGCTCTCCTGTCACTTACCCTCTACCACCTTGTGGTAGGCAAAATGCAGGTAGAGCAGGAAGAGCATGTGCAGGGTAGCCAGGGTGCCACAGAGGAGCAGCCGCTGTGTGGGGCCCACGGTCCGTGACACCAACACTGCCACCTTGGGCAACAGGAACAGAGCTCAGAGGCCTGCTCCAAGCGAGTGGCATGAGGGAGCCACTCTTACCCAGAGCAGAAACTCTTTGTGGGATTGGACTTGAGCTTTGAGCTGTTTTCCCTACTCCCTGGTAGGGCAGCCCACCCTGAGAAACCTCCTGCCCAGCTTACCATGCGCAGGGTGGACAACCCACCCACCAGCAGCCAGAAGAGGTAGAAGAGGGCATGCAGGTGGATGTTATAGGTGATGAACAGGACAATGCAGTGTCCGAAGAGGCCATAGCCCTAGGAAGGAGGATGGTGGAGAGGAAAGTCGCTCAGACTGAGCTGGCCTTGTGGGGACCTTGAAAAATAAATGGTCCACTGGCCAACTCACCCCATTCCAGGCCCTGGGGCCCTAGGACAGGTGCAGACCAGAGCTTGGGTACTCTTTTAGATCACACTTGCCCACCACTGTGCTGGACTCCTTACCAGCAGTGCCAGCATCTGGAGCATGGTGATCTGCGCGTTGCACAGGTAGGCGAGGAAGTAAATGAAGGACGAGACGCCGAGCCAGTAGCCAAAGCAGGTGCCAATGGCTGTGCCCATCAGGGTGCCCTCCCGCTGTGGGGTGAAGGCTCTATTAGTCTTGTGAGGCCCCTGGTCTCAGTCTAGCCCAGGGCCTCCTCCCTCAGGGGTTGCTTCTATCCACCATGTCTCTGTGGGCAGCTTTCAACTCATTTCAGTCACTCCCCCCCCAAAGTCCTCTGTCCTGCTTACGATAATGGTGTCAGATGTCTTCATCCCATGGAGGAGGATGGCGACCAGCGTGAAGACAAGCATGAGAGGTCCGTAGAGCTCACCTGCGATTTTCTGTCAATATACCAACTCATTCAGGCGGGGGGTACAATGGCTCTTCTGTTGATGTCTTCCCGGGCTTTGCCTCGTGGCCCTACCCTCTGCCCCAGTTCCTCCCCCGGCTCTTCCAGACATGCTACACCCCCCTACTCACCTGGGGGAAGCTGACCATCTTGATAGGGATCATGGATTCCAGGAGCCTGGGAGGGGAGAAGAGAGAGGAAAGCAGATGAGGCACTCGGCTATGAGGTTCTGGAAAGCCTGAGTCTTACTCATCTCACTGACTGAAGAGAACATGCTGGATGGTAAGGAAGAAGAGGGTAGTAAAGACAGATGAACGAGGAAATCACTACCCTGCCCCTGGAAATGCTTCCAGGAAGAGCAGCCCTGACGCTGTGCCGACTGATGCAGCAGCAACATGGAGAATCCACAGAGCCCCCTAGGCCTTTGGGAGGGCTTGGCCATTTACCTATGTGACCTGTTCCCCTTTAAAAGGGGAACCTCAGCAGAGATGTAAAGATAAAAATGTATAGAAGGAAAGTTGTCACTTGAGAGAACCAGGGTGCCCCCTGCCTCTTCCTACTTATCATCCCTCCCGATACCACTGAGAATTTTCCTGAGAAATATATTTGAAGTGGTATTAAAATTTCAGGCAAAGCAATCCCACTCCTGGGCATACACACCGAGGAAACCAGATCTGAAAGAGACACGTGTATCCCAATGTTCATCACAGCACTGTTTATAATTGCCAGGACATGGAAGCAACCTAGATGCCCATCAGCAGACGAATGGATAAGGAAGCTATGGTATATACACAATAGAATATTACTCAGCCATTAAAAAATTCATTTGAATCAGCTCTAATGAGATGGATGAAACTGGAGCCCATTATACAGAGCGAAGTAAGCCAGGAAGATAAACACCAATACAGTATACTAATGCATATATATGGAATTTAAAAAGATGATAACAATAACCCTATATGCAAAACAGAAAAAGAGACACAGATGTACAGAACAGAGTTTTGGACTCTGTGGGAGAAGGCGAGGGTGGGATGTTCGGAGAGAATAGCACTGAAACAAGTACACTATCAAGGGTGAAATAGATCACCAGCCCAGCTGGATGCATGAGACAAGTGCTCAGGGCTGGTGCACTGGGAAGACCCAGAGGGATGGGATGGAGAGGGAGGCGGGAGGGGGGATCGGGATGGGGAACACATGTAAATCTATGGCTGATTCATGTCAATGTATGGCAAAAACTACTACAATATTGTAAAGTAATTAGCCTCCAACTAATAAAAATAAATGAAAAAATAAAAAATAAAAAAACATAAAATTTCAGGCAAGACAAAGAGAAGTACCAAAAACTTTCCCACTTCTTGAGTGAGTAGCTCCTAATAGTACCTTAGATCTGGACTGGATTTTAGTTCTCAGAAAGCTGCCCTGTCCAACCCTCCAGCCAACCCTGGGTTAGGGGTCCCTCCTGGGTGTGTCCCTTCATGGCAAATGAATGCTTGAGGGCTGCCCTTAAGCATAAGGTGTCCCGTCTTGTGTCTCAGGCTCCCAGACACAACTACTACAGTGCCTGATGCACAGCCAAAGCTTAGTAAATACTTGCTAAGTGGTAGTGGGTATTTGATAAACACTAGTTGAATTAAAGGATGAACAAAGAACCAAGCCAAGATTAAATCCAGTTCCTGAAGTCATTCAACAACTATGTACTAATATTCAGATTCAGAGACTGTTCTGGTCCTGAGAATTAAAAAGTAAACAAAACAGAGCCTACTTGTGAGGAAGTCTTTGGAAAGAGAGACCCAGGAATAAGAAAGTGCATCACTGCTTAAGTGTTACCTGTTAGAAGTGCAGAGCCCTACTGGAGCACCAGGAAAGACAAAGTGGGGATGGGGAGCAAAGGAAGTGACATTTGAGCCAAGCTTTGAGGGAAGACGAGTAGTTTATCAGATGGAGCAGAGGAGGAAGGCAGTGTGTTATCACCATGCTCTGTTCCATGAGAAGAGGTATGGTGTGGCTGGGTCATGACGAGGGGAGTCTAAGGGTTTGACGTCCCGTTGTAGTTTGGATGAAGGACTAGGTGTTAGGGCAGCTTCTGTCAGGAGGAGGATCCTCACCTGCTTCGCACCTGGGCTGGCTCCACATCAAAGTAGGGTCTCAGGATGTCGATGTTGGCATACAAGCTGAAGGCTCTGGAGGCTTGTCTCTTCCCTGCCTGCCACATCTATAGCAAGGAAGATGGGTGAGGTGGAAGGGTACTGTCACACTCTTGGCTCTATGCTCTGTTACTTATTTTTTATCTGATTTCAACATGGTTCGAACTGGACAACCTGGGGTGAACTTCACCAACACCAACTCCAGAACCAGAGGCCTCCTGGGTATACTTTTCCACCTGTCAAGGAGCCAATTTTGCTTACCTGATCAGCCACCTGCCGGCTCAGCTGGCCCTTAAAGCCCTTCATCCCCAGGAACTCCCCATCCTCTTCTTCAGCAGCAGCTGCATCAGCATCCACTTCCTCCTCACGCAGGCGCTGATGCAGCTCACCCATATCCTCGAAGCTGGAGCCGGAGGTATCATCCATGTTCTCCATGTCAATCACTGCTGAGCCCCCACCCTGTGAAGACAACAGATCCTAGAGGGCAGGACCTTTCTGCTTCATCCAGTTGTCTTTCTCTGTTCACCACACGGTTTGGGGCTAGGGGATAGGACTTGAAATCACCACAGATCATGCCACTCTCTTCCCCTCATTTGGCCTCAGAACCCCTGCTTGGTTCTCTGTTCTAGTCTGCGGAACCTAGTCCCTATCTTCCATACACGGCTTTTTCCTACCTTCCCTACCAAGGCCCCAAAGGGCTGCAAACTGCCCATTTCCTTCATCTCTCCCAACCCCAAAACAAGGCTATACGCACAAAGTGTGGTTTTGGCTAGTGAATCCCACCCACCCCCCAAGCCCACTCCCGCCTCCCGCCATGCCTGACTCCGACTGACTTTCTTTAACTTGTGGAAAGCAAGAACAATTGGGCCCAGATACCTAAGGCCCCTGGCAGGAGCCTGGACCTTTAAGATCAGCACTAGTCCCACTGCCTTTCTTGTGCACGAAGACTCAAAGAAGGGAAAAAGTGCTGCAAATGGACCAGACTTCCAGGCTCTGAGGGAGAGTCCCCACGACACTTCAGGACGGCTGCCGGCCCTGGGGCTGCGGGCAGCCGGAGCCGTGGGGCCATTACCTGGATGTTTTCTTCGAACCCACCCCATTCCGGGCCGGCCCCGTTTCGGGCGCCGCCAGCCGGCGCCGCCGGAGTTGCCATGTCCCTAGAGGGCTCCCGTCGCTGAAGCCCGCGCTTGTCCCGCGCGCGGAGGAGGAGTGGGAGAGACGTGGGTCTGAGAAAGGGACAGGTCTAGGGACAAGAAAGAAAGGTACGATGGGCCGGAATGCAAAAAATGAGAAACCCGGATGTTTGGCTCAAACTGACTTCCGGTAGCTGGGGACGTGGACGGAGGCAAGGCACAGTCTCGCGATATTTAAGATTCTAGGAGGTGGTGCGTTGCTGCAGAAACGGAGGCGGATGATTAGTGCGCACGCATCAGTTAGGTACTCTGATCACGTGGAGGAGTTGAAGATGGCGGCGGCCCAGGCTGTGGAGGAAATGAGAACCCGCGTGGTTCTAGGGGAATTCGGGGTTCGCAATGTAAGTCTTTTGGCCTTCAGCTCGGGAGCAGAGTGAATTAGAGATGAGTTGGGGTCAGAGTGGGGACGGGCTTGGCCTCGCTGCCCCTTCGCGGACATTCTCGTCTCTCTTTGCTCTAGGTTCATACCACTGACTTTCCTGGTAACTATTCCGGCTACGATGATGCCTGGGACCAGGACCGCTTTGAGAAGGTTGGTGGAGCTGGAACCGTGGGATCGGACTTTGTGATATGAGCAACCTGTACTTTAGAAGCTGTCCTTGTAATTTCCAAGGCGCAGCAGAAAAGGACAGCTTGCAGCAAGCAGCAGAGGGCGGTAGCTGGAAAACTTAAGCGGTGACCACGGGGAAAACGTCAGTTTCCCCCACCGGGAAAAAGCCAGACTTCCCCCACCTGGAGTCCTAACCACGACCACAGGAGCCAGCAGTTAGGGCTAGAGTCCCTAGTCCTTGTCTGCCTAGTCAAGAACAATTCAGGCGAGGAGGCAGAAGGTAATAGCATAAAGTACGAAGTTTATTGAAAAGAAAAGTACATGTAGAAAGGCACACGGGCAGGACCCTCCCATGAGGTGCGCACTCACCCCTTAGCCAATATGGATCTGGAAGTGGAGGCTTCTGGGAAGAGCAGGACTCATTATGGCTTGGAATTATCCTCTGACTTTTGACCCCAAGTAGCCTTTCTGCACTTGCGATGTATCTTTCTTATCCTAAAAAGGGGGAAGCGGAGATCCCTTAATACTTAGCCAGAGGAGGGGTTTTGCCTTGTTTTGTCCTTGCTATAATTATTTCTTCAAGATGTGTACAAGAGACAAAGACTTTTTAGTCTGTTTCTGTTGTTTCTTCTGTTTTTGGAGGGCAAACAGGAAGCTGATAGTAAATTCCTTAACTGGAGCCCGTCTTTCTCCTACCACACTTGTGATGCGGGAGAGGCTAAATTAAAGGTCCAGGTTCTTATTTTACCTGTAATTTGGACAGGGAGTGCGAAAAAAAAGTCACCACAGAAACTGACATGTAGAGAGAACAAAGAAGTAATTTATTAAGGAGAAAGGAAAGTATACACTCACGAAGAATGCGGGTGTCCACACGAGTGAGGAGCCCACCTGAGGGTGTTTCTAGCCCCCCTCCTTTAATTCCTTGAATGGGTGCAGGTTTCTTTGTTGTTGTTCAGTTGCTCAGTTGTGTCTGATTGTTTGTGACCCCAGGGACTGCAGCACGCCAAGCTTCCCTGTCCTTCAGTATCTCCCAGAGTTTGCTCAAACTCATGTCCATTGAGTCAGTGATACCATCCAACCATCTCATCCTCTGTCGCCCTCTTCTCTTCTTGCCCTCAATCTTTCCCAGCATCACTTGTTTGCAATGAGTCAGCTCTTGGCATTACATGGCCAAAGTATTGGAGCTTCAGCTTCAGCCTCAGTCCTTCAATGAATATTCAGGGTTGATTTCTTTTAGGATTGACTGGTTTGATTGTTTGATCTCTTTGTTGTCTAAGGGACTCTCAAGAGTCTTCTCCAGCTCCACAGTTTGAAGGCATCAATTCTTTGGCACTCAACCTTCTCTCACATCCATGCATGACTACTGGAAAAACCAAAGCTGTGACTTTATGGACCTTTGTCAGCAAAGTGATGTCTTTGCTTTTTAATATGCTGTGTAGCTTTGTCATAGCTTTTCTTCCAAGGAACAGGTGTCTTTCAAGGTTGCAGTCACTGTCCGCAGTGACTTTGGAGCCCAAGAAAATGAAGTCTGTCATTGTTGCCATTTTTTTCCCCATTTGTTTGTTATGAAATGATGGGATCAGATGCCATGATCTTAGTTTTTTGAATGCTGAGTTTTAAGCCAGCTTTTTCACTCTCCTCTTTTACCTTCATCAAGAAGCTTTTTAGTTCCTCTTTGGTTTCTGCCATTAGGATGGTGTCACCTACATATCTGAGGTTATTGATTTTTCTCCTGGCAGTCTTGACTGCAGCTTGTGCTTCATCCAGTACTCTGCATATAAGTTACATAGCAGGGTGACAGTACACAGCCTTGACGTACTCCTTCCCCAATTTTGAACCAATCCGTTGTTCCATCTTCAGTTCTAACTGTTGCTTCTTGATCTGCATACAGGTTTTTCAGGAGACAGGTAATGTGGTCTGGTATTCTCATCTCTTTAATTTTCCACAGTTGTGATCCACACAGTCAAAGGCTTTAGCTTAGTCACTGAAGCAGAAGTCAGTGTTTTTCTGGACTTCTCTTGCTTTTTCTATAATCCAGAGGATGTTGGCAATTTGATCTCTGGTTCCTCTGCGTTTTCTAAATCCAGCTTGAACATCTGAAAGTTCTCGGTTCACATACTGTTGAAGCCTAGCTTGGGGAATTTTGAGCATAATCTTGCTCGCATGTGAAACGAGTGCAGTTGTGTGGTAGTTTGAACATTCTTTGGCATTGCTCTTCTTTGGGATTGGAATGAAAACTGACCTTTTCCAGTCCTGTGGTCACTGCGTAGTTTTCCAAAGTTGCTGGCATATTGAGTGCTGCACTTTAACAGCATCATCTTTTAGGATTTCAAATAGTTCAACTGGAATTCCATCACTGCCACTAGCTTTGTTCATAGTAATGCTTCCTAAGGCCCACTTGACTTCTTTGATTAGGGACAGTCTATTTATTTTGGGGAGGATGGGTGGGATCTTGATTGCACTTGGTTATAACAGCTTCTCTTGTGCATCTGTCTCCTAAAGCCACCACACCAAGAGCCTTTTTCCTCTTAATTTTCCCTTAGAGTGAAGCACCAGGTGTGGAAGGTTGTATAGAAGCGTGTGCCTCCTTATTGCGTATGCTCGGCCCAGCTCTGTTAGGTTTCTAGTCAGGGTTTCCTGTCCAGCTGTCACAAAGTGTAGTCAAGGTTTAATTCCTGTTCTGCTGTCATTCCTCATGCTGCATTATCTGATTCAGTGCAGAGCAAGGAGAGGTGGCTTTGCCTTTTGCCTGATGTCTGTGTATGATGAGGCCAACATAAACAAATGACTCCAGTGTAATGTGCTAAAGGCAGCTGAAAGCAGAAAAGGATGATGGGGGTGGGGTGGAGGTCAGGATTTTGGGGGCGGGGTATCCCACACAGACACTTAATCCAGAATGGGAATGGGGAGCAGAGGTATGGAAGATTTTCTGAAGGAAATGACATCTAAGTTCAGCCCTGAACAAGGAGCAGAGGCTGAGGAGTGTCCAAGCAGTTCAGTGGTAGGCAAGATTGAAGTGCATTTTAGGCACCAGAGGTGATAGGGAGCTCTGGAAGAGATCTTAAGCAAGTATGATCATATCTGCAGGCTTAGAGGTAGAGAGAGGATTTGAGGCTTGTCCTGTGGGGTGTACAGTTTGTGACAGTTGCATAGGGAAGTTGAGGCTGAAGGCAGAAACAAAGATTGTGATGATGAAAATAGAGCACAGGGGACGAAAGGTAAATTTGGTGGTTGCTTGGATATGGGCTGATAGGGGGGAGTGTAAAATAACTGCTCTGATGGGTGGTGGTCATTTAGTGATGAGAAATCAGTCTAGGGAAGGGGAATGTTGAGACATTCAGTTTCTTGTGAGTGAAGTCCAGCAAACTGATTGTATATATATAAATATATATATATGTAAGAGTTGTTCATACAGATGATGGCTGAAACCATGAGCAGGGTCGAGGTGACCCTGGAGAGACAAAAACTTGGGAAACAGTAATATTTATATAGTAGGTAGAAGACTGAATTTAGAAGGATTGATCAGATGAGGAGGAGAAGATTGGCGCTCTGAAATCAAGGCAGCTGAGTTTGGAAACAGGCTTCTCTCAACAATGCCAGGTGTAATAGAGGTGTATAGTAAGATAAAAGTTGAGTAGTGTCAACTGGGTGAGCAGTATGTGAGCCTGTTCTTAGTAACATAGCCTCTCTGAATGTGGCTGGAAGCCATATTGCAGAGGGTTTTATTTTTTTTTTACTTTTTAAGGAATTTGTAAGAAAATTTTATTTCTGGTTGTGCTTGGTCTTTGATTGATGTGCTTGGGCTTTCTCTAGTTGCAGTGAGCAGGGACTGCTCTCTAGCTTCAGTGGGAGGGCTGCTTATTGCAGGGGCTTCTCTTGCTGTGGAGCATGGGCTCTAGAGTGCTGGCTCAGTACTTGTGGTTCATGGGCTTAGTTGCTCCATGGTGTGTGGGATCTTCCTGGACCAGGGATCGAACCCGTGTCCCCCCTGCATTAACCACTGGACCACCAGGGAAGTCCCTGCAGAGGGTTTTAAATGAATGGAAGATAAAAATGAAGGGTTTTCCAAAATCTAATGAAGGATTGGGGGAGAAAGTAGGGTCTAATGAGGAACATCTCGGCAAAGGGAGGTTTTTGAGGGGAGTATCAGGTGGGGGGAGGTATTGCGTATAGAGACCAGGCTTCATTTAGTGTTTCTCCTGTCCCTTTAGAATTTCCGCGTGGATGTGGTACACATGGATGAAAGCTCATTGGAGTTTGACATGGTGGGAATCGATGCAGCCATTGCCAATGCGTTTCGGCGCATTCTGTTAGCTGAGGTATTGGGCACGGTGGCCAAGGTTGGGCTGTGGGGAGGACCTCACTTGGAGAATTGTCTGAAGCCGTGTTCTTGCAGTGTTGCTGAGCATT